TATCCATAGCGGAGTGCACGGGGTAGAAAGGGGAAAATTTCGAGCGAAACAGCTGACGCGGGAAACCTTTTAATTCTCAAGAAGCGAGTATAAAATTTTACGTTACCAGAAAAAAGTATATAACGATCAATAGATTTCAAACAAGTTTGTTAATAAGATTATGCATTAACAATAGAGTCCGACCGAAATTTCGGTTTCGGTAAAAAATCAGGGTTTCGATTTGAATTCAGTTTCGGCCGAAATTAAGAGAAAATTTCGGTGGGTAAACCGAAACTATACAAGTTGCAAAGCGCCGGTGAGCATTTAAAAAACAACTGTTCGATTTTAATTATTAACTCGTTGATTAAGCTTAAGACAATTAGAGTACAAATTTTGATGTCATCCTAATAATAACTGTGACTTGATTTCTTTAAAAGTTGAGGATGCAATATTATTATATTATTATAGTTAGATGTTTTAATAAAATCTCTGTAAATTAATTTAAAAACATGGAGATTACGACTCCGGCCGAAAGAAATGTGATTCCGTTAGCTTTTCTGTCTCTCTCTCTCTCTCTCTCACTTTTTTTTTAGTAAGACTTAGAGTTTCGGTTTCGGCCGAAATTGAATGACAACCGAATACTCGTCTTCGGCCGGAGGTCAAAATGTGGTTTCGGTCGGACTCTAATTAACATGTAAAATCTCTGTTACTTTATTTTGTAAGCCATACATTTATAATAATTCTTAAGCACTGTTATTTTATAAAAAAAAATTGTTAAAATGTATTTCTCAGAGAAAAAGTGGAATTAAAAAAATTATCAGATACATTCTGGACACCTTGTATGATCTAATTTATACTTATTAGAGAGTACATCAATCCTTTATGATTAAAAAAAAATGAGACATACGTTCTTTCACATAAATACCGCAGCCACATAAAATTTCCATGTTTTATTATATGAATTTAAAAGAGGAAACGTTGCAGAACGTGCTTATGAATTAATGCCTTCATTAAAATATGATTATTTAAGCAGGTAGCAGAGGCTTGATTACAAGGTTCTCGTATATTTGCCTAAAGGGGCAACAGTAAATTTGAAATATCATATTTACCCAAGGGAAAGCGAGCGGTTTCGCGCAGTTTCATGTTTGATACTAAATAAAAAATTGGTTAATACTAAACGTGTGAAAGTAAACTTTATTCAAACATTCCTGTTGTATAAAGTATTTCATCCTCAAGAAAAACAATAAAAACAATTACTATTGTGTTTTTAAATGTAGCATTTAAAAAGTGAAAGTCAATATGTTCATAAAAGAATACATGACAATTCTAGTAAATGTCTAAAAAGAATCATTTGTTTCATCACACTGCCATAGTGTCTCTTTGTGTAACAACAAATTTCTTCAAATACAAAAGAAGCAGGTATTTATTATCAATACCGAATTAGGAGAAAAATATTTTTTCCCAAGGCTAGATAGCTTTTCTCAATAGGAAGCCTATCAAACTAACCGTTCGCTGGTAGTTCGGAGTGCTGTGAACCTGCTCGACCAGGTCGAACCACATCCTGCGTATGGCCATTTCCGCAGAAGCCAGTCGACTGCGGAATCCTCTCGATGCGCTCGACGCGATATTACAGAACCGCATTAGCGATATTAGATTTCCGAAGTCAATATTATGATATCCTGAATTTATACACATTTATCTAACTGACTATTCATACGAGCCGTATTGTTTGACATATAAACAGTTCATTTGCCCGTTTAGATAACTAAAGGAAAGATAAAAATTTGCATACCTTGTTTCTGCTAATTCTAAGTTTAACTATTCGACTAAACGTTAACTTTCTTGAAAGTGTATTACATTCGGTATAATATTTATATAATAAAAATATCACTGGTAATTTTAACTTGAATATTTCTTTTTAATCAAGTGTGGAATCTTGTAGACATATGTTTACAAGTAAAATATATGTATTTATGAGAAACTCTTAGCGAGTCTAAAATTAAGTATTTATACATACATATCCATAAAATTATTTATTTATGCAATATGTGCAGATGTGTGCGTGCGTGCGTGCGTGCGTGTGTGTGTTATGTCAATAGTCTCTCCTTTTCCTTCTCTCTTTTATCCCTTCGTTTTCTTCATCTGGACTTCAATGTCCCCTCGAGAACGTAAATTCTGATTTCACCAGGATCAGCGATATCCCTGGCGAGATACCTACTTGAGCCTGAAGGTTCAAGGCTAGCCATACTTTCAACCGCGCTGCTCGCAGGTCTCGTGCAGCTTCAAGAGAAGTTACGTGAAATGTCGGCGGCGCATAGGAATATTATCTAGCGGATGTAATAAATTATTAAATCGTGTTGCAACGATGTCTTGATAATCTTTTAATGCATTTTGGTACATATAATTTCATATAAATGATAAATAACGCAAATAAAAATACCATGTTGACTTGATCATCATGGAGAATCATGTTTAAGTGAAGCAAGGAAAAAAATTGAAGAGAAATATTTTTGAAAATAAATTTGATAAGCGAACATCGTTCTCACAAATCGAATACATTCGAGACGTATAAACGCGCACACCGGCATTAAATTACACCCGGCAGACGTTATTTTATCTGCTTCTTCCCGGCGGCGACGGAGCCTGTTTCACCCTTGGGAATTAAAATTCCCACCGACCCGCAGGGAAGAATCCGAAGCCCGGCGCCGTTTGTGCGGCCGATTACCTGAGTCAGCTGTCTCAGTGTGTAGCGTCTTTACAGGACTCGGGGACTGGCGGTACGAGAGGCTGGAAAAAAAAGCACGGGTTCTTTCCTAGGCCTTTACGAGGCCCAATGAACGATCCCTAAAGGTGGAAGATTCCTCCCTCGATCGGGAAAAAGAAGCCTCAGCTGTATGTCGATGGAATCAACATTCATCCCGATATGTATTTCGCCAAAGGCAGCAATTTTTGTTTGTGGTAATATAATCGTAATTTCTGATCTTAGACAGAAGTTAGGAGCCATTTAATTATTTGCAAAGATTTAGTTTAATTTTATGGCAACATAATAAAAAATATATGAGTGTGAGGCGCGTTTTCAGATTTAATATAAATAAAAACAAAAGATTGAGAAAAAAGATATCTTTTTCTCATTTAATTTCTGTTGTAACCGAACATTTGTAACTTATATAATAATGAAAAGGAGAAATATGTCGATACGCTTTCGAAAAGACGATACTAATTTCTGAAAAAACCGATTTCAGAAAGACTTGATCTTGGAAAGAAAAGCGCATTGTTGTTTTCGCGGCAAAATCGCGTGGTGATAAATCGTGGTTTTCTTGACTTTATGGCTATTTGGAGTAACAGAGCTCGCGTGCGTCGTAAAAAGTGGCTCCGATTCAAGCCTGACGTTAATTTTCCGCCGGCGTCGATGATACTTAAACTAGAGCTAAAGCAATTTCGGCCGGTGAGAACTTTTTCCTCTAGCCTTTCAATTGCACTCTTCAATCGCTGCCGCATTCAGGCGTGACCAGAATTTATAACTAATTCTTTCAAATGTTAAATTCAACGAAAGGGCTTTAATAATATTACAGCTCGAGATTATTCAATTTTTAACGCCTTACTATCTCTTTATAGACTTTTAAGCGTCGTAAATAGGAAGAATGTTTATTCGATGTAAAAAAAAGATGTAATTTTGTTGCTCGAGAATTTTAATGTAATTCCTTTTTATTGTATGCATTTCCAAATCTATACTTTCATGTTTTTAAGCACTATATATATAAGATTTATAACTTACAATTTGGTTCGCTATTAAATTTTTGGCGATATGTAGATAGTTGATAAACAATTTACGTATTATTCTTTTTGAATTTTTAGATGCAAGGTACACGATTAAAGGTGTCATTCTACAAACATTTTATAGATTCTTTAAAATTCTTAATTCAGACATTATCTACCTATAATACAACTTCAGAGACTGAAGTGGATAGGTTCGACATCTTCAAACGATTCATTAACGGTTCTTGTAATCCCCATACACACACACACACACACACACACACACACACACACACACACATTTTTAAGTCTTCTGTTTTTTGTCTCTAAGATAAATGTATAGGACTAGGACTGAGAATAAGGAGGTCTTTATGCCTTCATAGGAGCTAATATACCCTGCCCAGGTGAAACTTAGTTTCGGGACACATCGCAATCCGGTTCCCACGGTACAGACCAGGTAACCCGGAATGTTTTCCTCGTAATTCTGTTCGTAGCATTCCTCTCTTTTTACATTCTTATTTATCTTCGTTTCCCTCCGCAATGCATTATAAAATCAAACGGGAATATTGTTTCTCCACATCTCTTCAGGTAAAAAGATCGAAAATAATAACGAGAGAAAGAAGCTAGTTTATATACAAATACTTCGCAAAAGAAATGATATTTTATTAAATTTTCGCTAAAGGAATATGTGGATAAATTAAGATCTACAAGAATAGAAACTAGTCGAAACTTTTTGCTCGATAGCTCGATGACTCGACGGCTTGTCGATTGAACTTGAAGATCGTAATGCGTTAAAATGTAAACATTTCGGAGAATTGTCTCGAGTGTGACGCGCAAAAATATCTTAACTATCGAGAGCTGTCTTACAAAATTGGAGCAATTTGAATGCGAGCGTGTCCCTCGCGTTGGTTTTCTTTGCGTGTATGTTACAACGTCTATCCCCTGGGGCAATATGCTTTCTAGTTTCTAACTTTATTCAACGGCAGTACTTTAAAGGAGCGTTTCCATGGTCACGCTATAAGCATAGCAATAGTCATTTCCCACTTGTATTCTCAGAGAGTTTAAACTTTATCCTCCGGCAAACTCACTGTTGACGATCGAAGGAGCTGACGAGCACCAATTTCGCTATCTTTTACAGCACTGCGCTGTAGTAATTACGCATGACGGCGATAAAATCGCAGCCTCTGAACGAACGGATTTGTTACTCGATCAATTGAGAATGAATCCGATAGAAGATAAAAATAAATGACGATCCGAATACTCACGGACTGGTATCTTCTTGGGATCGACGGTGCTGAGTCGCTCTTCGACTTTGTCGAGCTTATGACGTAGGTCGCCGCTTCTTTCGGCGACTTGAGCTAGTTCGGCGGTGAGGTTCGCGAAGATGTCCTCCGCGACGGTGAGGAGAGAGGCCAACTGTTTGAGGGAACTGGTGAGGGCGCCGTTCGCCACCGCTTCGAGCTCGGCGCCCACCGGCCAGCCCGGATGCGAGCCCGCCGGCACGTGGCCACGGCACACGTGCCGCGGCTCTACCTTCCGCATCACAAACGGCATCGCGACGACGACGACGGCGACGACGACGACGACGACGACGATGGTGCCGGCGGGTTGCTGCTGAGTAGCGTATCCCTAATCGGTCGCACTCGCGCATAACACACTTTACCGCTGATTCTCCCTTATCACCGGAGCACCGCATCGCTGCACGCTGATCCGCGAAATCGGCCGAATTCCGCGGATCCTCCGTGCCACCGGCGCGATCTCATGCTGCGCGATGTGCCACTGATCTCTTCCTGTCACTATCGAGCCGTCGTATATCTCGCTATCGCGTCACCGCGACTCGCTTTCCTTTTTTTCTTTAATTCTCTCAGCGCACTTTCACTCCTCCGCACACTCCTGTTGAATCACGAAAGATCGAAAACGAAACAACACGCGGCGCATTACAAGTCGACGCTCGAATTTCGGAAGGCGTGCGTGTGCAGCATTGCGGTGGATTCTTCGAAAATGTCGACACTCGTGAGATTCTTTCGCGCAAACTTTTTTACGGATCATTACAGGATGATTACGGTTGAATTGAGAAAACGCGCGAAACGACGACGCACAGCGGTGCGAACGTACCGCGCGCCGCGACGATGGTACGCCAAGTGCCGGCCGGTCCGGCAACCAGTCGCCGAGCAGTAGCAGCCGGCTGGTTCTCCCATTCAAGCGGTTGTATAAAAGGCGCCTTTCCCAGCTATCTGCTCGTCAGACAAGCCGCTGTCGCCATCTATCTTTACAGCATGGCCGTGCGATAGTATCTACTGCCGCGTTACGATATTTTTTATATTAAAAGTATCCGATAATACATTTCATATTAAAAATATATGTATAATATAATTAATGTACATTCTATTAAAATATTGAAATAATAATATATTAATATGAAAAATGTGCACGAGGCTGTTTTATCGCATCAGTTTAACCAACAATGAGTAATGTAGAAACCAGAAAACCTTTAGAAGCTACACAATTTTGAATCTGCAGAAAACCTTTAACAATGAAACAGAAGCAAGAGTATTATCTTCTATAGGGGGGGGGGGAGGTGAATACTGTGGAAGTTTATATTAAATTGATACACAAATTAAGATACTAATCAAAGATATAAAATAAAACAATTAAAAGTGCATTCTTATAAATGACAGAAATTTCGAAAGTAGTTTTAATACACTTCTTAGAAGAAGGAATTAAACGAACAGATTTAAAAAATTGATTGCATATTATAACATATGTTATACAATAATATTTATATAATATTAATACATAATTGAAATAAAAATTAAGATTACCTTATGCGTATATAATTTTTCTTATCTCTTCAAATTACGTAAAATGTTTAATATATATATTTCTGAAAACTATTCATGATGTATTGTATATTAGATAAGTATTATAGACGATTATCTGTTAGTATGAATGCTTTATGGTACCGTCAACCGTGAAATCTGTTATCTACATCGCACAGGGAAATTGATATATAAAATTCCGACATAGTGAGAACTTGAATGCCCAATTAACATTCTTCAAAATGCATTGTATTTAATTAAACCAGATTTTTCCCGTCAATAGTTATAATAATATTATAGGACTATAATACATCTGTAAAAATAAAATAGTTGAAAAGAGTAGTGTGGTTCTTCGTATTTTAATTATTGATTATTGATATTAATTATAGAATGCATATCTACTATATAAATAAATATACACGATCCAATTACATGTTCATTCTCATGGAAACTTCATAGACGACTGCACTATCCTAACTTAGCCAACGCGAGATGCGCGCTGCATACGCGAACTATCGACCCGTGATAGCCGCCGATTGAGTTAACGAACGTCGTAATTCGCGTTTATTTTCATAGCCAACTAAACAAAAAGTTACACACAGCGGCGGTAGAAACTCGACGAGTGCAACGCTCGTTAACGTAACAAATTTAGCAGGCTGGTCGGATTCGATTCGGCGTAAAGTAAGCTCCAGAATTGGGTTGATGTAATTGATAGTCCGAACTTATCCTTGCCTCTCTGTCCTCCCTTCTCTTTGGAAGAATCTAATGGTTGCGAGTTACCGGCAGTTAGCGCTTTCTTTCACTTGGCCTTAATTTTCGCCGTATGTGCAATTTCACACGATAAAGTCTCGCACTTAGGGCTTCGGAATGACTCTTCTCGCCTCGAAAGATCCACTTTTCGGGAAAAACGATTGCCCGTAAAATGTGCCGCAACCTTAATTTTATGGAATCACAAATGGTATTATTGCAATCGAAATAACAAAATGATATCATAAATTCGGGTAACATCTTAGATACATTTTGACAAGCATTCAAATTACTTTTCGAAACGCAGAGATCCACAATGCTGATATTGCACATCCGACGCCAGAATTTTGAGTTTAATTTATATATTCGTCCTGTATAACATGGTTTAATGTTGATATGACATGAAAACCAGATGGACACCCTTGGCTTTAAAAGTCCTGCAAATGTGAATCCGCAGAAAATATAGAAATCTGTAAGGCTAGGTCCACAACCTTGCTTTGAGAGGCCGTAGGCCGTAAGCTTTAAGTTGCACGGAAAAAAAATGTTTCTGGTTTTTACAGCTAATTCTGATTAGCTGAAATTGTATTAGAAAACGGAAGTCTATTTTTAAAATCTTACAACTTTTTTTTAAATAAAATTTATTATAATTCATTTCATTGTATTCTTTGTCTCAAATTATGACAACTGTTTCAACGCTACTATATATTAGCTTTCCCTGTGAAGCAACACGTACGAAACTCAGAATTAATTGTCTGTGTCTGGTGTTCATTCGAATGAATTTAAAAATAGGTATATGATAAGATTACATATACCAGCAGACTTTTAACAAGACTTAAAAGTCCAAGTTATATGCTGTCCTCGAAGTAAACAGCTTGTATGTTTTTCATGTGCCTTTTTGGATAGATTTAATCGGGATCGTACTTGAAAATGACTAGGTTAGGTTATGGACTACTATGCTAAAATCGTGTTTTACGTTGTTTATTATCCAGCACGTATCTCAACTCTGCGCGAAAGAGATACATGCTTAGGGATTGGTATGAATTGAAGGGATCCCATAAAAGGGTACAGTCGAAATAAAAATCTAGGAACGTTCAAAAAATTTCGTACGTTTCGTAACTTTTATTACGTCACATATCTTCTTAATTCTGATATACAAAATAGTAAATAACTTTCAAATGAATACGCTTAAGCATTATGACAGCCAAAGAAAGAAATAATTGAGCAGGAAATGTATTTTACACTTGGAATTTCAAAAATTCCAAATCGAATAAAGTAGGCATAGAAATTGACAGATCTAAGATTTTATTATTGTATTATTGTTTATACTAAGTGTATATTTTTTCTTGAATTTAAAAAAAATTCAACATTGATTACATGTCAACATATTTGGGCTTTCCCATTGGGTATTCGCGCGTACTGCCTGTGTTGTGTTGTGTGTGCGATTATATTTTCTTTACATAGGTAAATACTACGTACTATTAGCAGTCTCGGTCCTTTTCCGGATTAATGAACAACCAGGGGCTGTAGCAATTTATTACCGGTATAAAGCAAATGAACTTAAACTAATACAGCCCATTATACAAGTATAATTTACAATTATGCTATAGTTAGTTGCAGTACTCCAAATTGTTTGTACAATTACTCGATCAGGTAGTCCTTAAGAATCCATTCATCTTCTATTTTTAGCCAGGCAGCATGTTCGCGCGGTTGTACGTACACGGACGCGGTGAGCTACGGCGTGCTGTTTTTAGCTCACGCGCAAACAACATTGAGCAATGGGTGCATCGGGGATATCCGCCGGACAATCGAAGGTTCAGAGTGCATAATTACACATGGTGACAGTACCCCTTAAGTTAGCCGGGGCTGCCCGCACAGGACGACACGGATATACACTCGCGTGTACGTGTTTGGCCACCACCAAGCGCGTCGTTTCTTGTTTCAACCGGGTTGCAATGGCAGGATTTACCTGCCCTTTCAGCGGCACTGCCGACTTCTTTTTATGGATGGGGGATATCTTTAGCGCGTGGGATTTATGTCAACAGACCTCGGACAATGGCCGAATTGAAGGACGGAGGAAGGTTTCGGAGTTATTCGATCGGCTCGACAACATCGAGCATCGGCGAATAATTAAGACTGCATAAAAAGTACCAAAGAATCTGTTGTGACAGAAAGTGCATTTAATTGACGGTATTTTTGAGAACGGGCAAACAGTTTCTTTGAATACTTCGGGATATGATCTCGACGAACCACGTCGAAAATAACTACGCAGTTAGAAAAAGTTGTAACTACAATACTTCGAATATGTGCACCTTAATCATCTTCCTTACTCATCTTTGTGTACTTTTCAACCAGGATTTTTAAAAAGAGAGGTAAAACCATTAAAATTATCACTAACATTTTAAAGGGATTCTATGACGTTTTAAAAGGATCCTATCACTTTAGAATTCACTTAAACCGTTGATAATTTTAAATACATTTATCTCTTTTTAAAAGTTCTGATTATACGAACATAACTTTGAAAATATCTTAAATTCTTTGTAAATTTTTTTGAGATTCAAATTTATTTAGACGAACGTTTCGATTCAATTGAATTATGAACATTAACTGCAAGATTTGATCGTAAGAATAATTCGTGACAGTTCGCTTGCATAATATCATTCCTGATCTTAAACATAAAAGATTTCATATCTAAAAATCTGTTTTTTTCTAATATCAATGTTTCTATCGAACTATCAACTTCTTTAAAAAATGTCACACACAATCTTTAAGTCCACATTAAGAAACTGCCTCACATCCATTTTACAATGACCAAGGATTACCACTCGGAGTAAATAACCGATGTTTGAAATATTAACAATTTTTTAACTGAACAAGAGTTTGAAGGATTATAAAACAGTGTACCAATTAATAATAAAGACTAAAATTATGTTACCGTAAGTTTTTTGTCCACTGAGGATGGTTATGTGAGAACCGAAACGTTTGGAGAATCATTGTATATTGCATATCTGAAAGTAAAAAATCTAGTTGCTGTCAAGCATGTCAGCGTGCTAAGCTCATTGCTCTTTTTATAGACACTCTATTATTTCAAATTATAATTTATTGAACTTCTGGAGACTTAGTGTTAATTTTTTTAGTCTCTTCCCTTTTTAATGCGTCATCTGAAATATAAAACGCAACGTGAGAAAAATATCTCTCTGCCGTGAAAACGATCATTCAAGACTTTATACGAAAGCGTAAAAAAAAACCGAACTATACTTACTTGAATTTTTTTCGCCAAATGCTTGGACGAAGAATTCGCATCCGGCCGCCGCGATGCAACAATGTTCGCGAACATATTCAGGAATGTTTCATGGCTTTCGGAGGACGCTGTACCATTCGATAGGCACGCAGACCGAAAACAACAGGCCGAGTTATTTCGATCGGTCGTTGGGAATCTTCGGATTCTACAAGTCGCAGAGCAGCGATACGAAAAAGTACCGGAAGGGTTGCCGCAAAATCGAGTCGAGAGAACATAGGGCTATCGCGGCGGAATGGCGGGAGGAGATACGAGGTTGAGAAGAGAGATAGGATGGATGGGGGAGGCGAAGGAAAAGGGGAGGAAAAGAAAGCGAAAGAGAGAGAGGGAGAGAAGAGATGCACCGCCACCGCGTGCAAATTCCCTCCCCGCGAGTTCCGTGCGCAGTGCGATGCCTAGCCCTAGGGGCACAGCGTATACCCCTTTTCCCGCCCACCCGTTAGACGAGCAGTACGAGCACGCTGCATTCTCCCTCCTCCCGTCGCGGGAGGTTCTTTCATCCTTTTCCCACCTTGGGGCTTGGATCCTCGCGCCACGATCCTCTGTCCTTTTCTCTCATTCGTCTCCCACTCCTTTCTACGTTGCACAAAGTTGCAATTTATAGCCGTCTCTCTCGCCCCCATTCGTCCTTCTCTTCATCCCCCACTATCGTCCATCTCCCACTCTGGCTTTCTTACCCCCGCCGAGGCAGTCGAGACACCCACCAGTTACGGCAGCTACGCCACTCTGCGATACTCTCCGCGTACATCTCCCTACCGTTTGCCGAGGATACTCTCGCGGTTGTCTCTTCCTCGTTCCTCACCCGTCCTCTCTCGCTCACTCCCTCTCTTTCGCTCTCTCACGTGCCACGCCGTCGGACGATCGGCGCGCCGAAGTGCGGCGACAGGCGTCGCAAATTCGCTCCTCGTAACTTCGGCTCCGCTCGGTCGGTTCCGAGCAATCCGAGCGCCGGCCGGAGGAATTTCGCCAGTATGCGCCGCGCTGCCTTGCCGGCAAGTTGTACGTAGTGAATAGGTTTTCTTTCTTCAGACGATACGTGCGAATCGTCGTTTCTCCCGAGTCACCAAGCGAGGCGATAGCATTCGCGCGCTCGTAAATCTGTCACTTTCTTCGGAGCGAGGGAACGCGCACGGCAACTATCAACGGAGTAACGGACGACAGCTCATCCGGATCCGGAGGGGACTCGCACGTCATTCACGTTTGCAGAAAACGAGGTGCGCAAGATCGCGAGAGGAATACTCGCGCGCGCGGAGCGACAACGTGGAGGATCCGAGGGTATCGATGAGAGATATCAGGGGGAACGGTCTTCCAAGGGCAACGAGGGCAAAGGTCATCACCGCCGTCATCGTGATCGCACCGTCGGCGGTCTCTACCGAAAATCCCGCCGACCATACAGGAGAAGAGGAGTGTTCGCCACGCGAATCACGTCGCGATACCGTGTCGAGCAGCCATCGTCAACGACGACGACGTAGAGCGTAGATCTACCCGTAGCGGGCCAACTTCCTATCAAAACATGGCCACGTGACCCCCGGACGGCACGGCTTGTAAACACAGAGTTTGACCACGTGGTCTGCTCCCTCTTTCCGCTGCTCCGAGCCGAGCGCCTATCTGTTTCTCTCTCTCTCTCTCTCTCTCTCC